TTCGCCATTTTTAAGTTACTTGGTAACATTATTTTCCACCAATCATGACAGAGCTGTTAATTTCACGATCAAAGCGCGGATCTTTTGTGCAGGTTTTTACTTTCACGAATACGTTTGGAAAAATAAAACCTGGAAATTTATTTTATTCTTTAAGCTCATTTTATATATTTTTGTTTTTTCATTCTTTAAGCTTATTAACAAATATTTCGTACGTTTTGTATAGTACATGAAAACCCGTACGTTTTGTATAGCACATGAAAACCCGTACGTTTTGTATAGCACATGAAAACCCGTAGTCTACCTATGGTTGTTCAAATTTCCTTTTGTTTCCTTAATTTCATTTTCATACATTCTCGAATCAAATTCATTTTTAAAAATAGAAATAAAATTTTCTATTAATTTTATATATAATACACACACACATATATATATATAATTATTTATATATTATATATTCTTATCCTTATTATAAATAATATTAAATTTTTATATATTTTATATGATATATATATATATTTTATATAATATATAAGGTAGACTACAGGTTTTCATGTATTATACAAAAAGTACGAAATATTTGAAAATAAGATTAAAGAATAAAAAAACAAAATTTTTGTATATTTAAATATATATTTAAATATTATATATATTTAAATATTATTATATATATATTTATTTATTTATATATTTAAATATGTATTTAAATTTATATATTTTATACAATATATATATTATATTTATAATTATTTATATATTATATATTCTTATCCTTACTATAAATAATATTAAATTTTTATATATTTTATATAATATGTATATTATATATATAATTATTTATGTATTAATATTATTATATATATATTTATATATTATTATATATATAATTATTTATATATTATATATTCTTATTCTTATTATAAATAATATTAAATTTTTATATATTTTATATAATATATATATATTATATATATAATTATTTATGTATTAATATTATTATATATATAATTATTTATATACTATATATTCTTATCCTTATTATAAATAATATTAAATTTTTATATATTTTATATAATATATATATTATATATATAATTATTTATATATTATATATTCTTATCCTTATAAAAAAAAATCAGACAGATGACGATCTGGTTGCATGCAGGATCGATATCGCATCGCAGGAAAGCGTCAAGATGTACGAGAAAAATCGCCGATCACGTATAGTTGGGATACTTGCCGCGTAATGGCGTCGTTCGGCCTGCTTTTCCACTAGCATGGTGGATTCCACCCCGCAGCCGGCCTCCGACCTCCACAAATATATCAAAGTTCATGCGTTTTCGACCTAATATCATTCGCGTGCACACCCTCGCCCTTCCTAGCCACTTCCAGGGCAACCGAGTTGCCGGTTTACGTGTCTGCAATCCGCTGCCGCTTCAACCCCTTCAACCCTCTCGCCACCGAGCTCGCGTTTCCCTGATCTTTATTCATTCTTTCGCCTCGCCCGTTTCAATTTTTCTACAGTTTAGCCCAAGGAAAAGTCGTGCCTCGCCCTCCCACCCCCCCGCCCCCCAACCGATCCGCGGGCTCTCGTGCACGCGCGCACGTGCTCGATAAATTTTTCGCGATTCCTAATGTTTAGCGTTTATGGCCCGCCAGCCAGCGGTTTAAGAATCCGTTGTTAGTGAAAATGTTTGTAAACAGCAGACGCGAAATCTTCAGATAGTTGTTTTTAAATTATTACAATCCGAAAATATCATATGAATAACCAGATTTTTATGCATTTACGAAATATTGAAAAATACAACAAAAATTTAGCTATGTTCATAAAAATAATAATTTTTAGTTATTTTAATAATAATTAATTTAGGATATTTGATTATATTTTGTACTTCACATTCTCCGCGATAGAGTTTAGTAATTTAAAAATTCTGAAACATAATTAATTTAATCCTAGAATGATTAGTAATAAATAGTAATAAATTTATAATAGATTAGTTAAATATTAAATATAGCTTTTTAGTTTGTAAGAGAAAAATTAAAAAAAAAAAAATTGTGACAAACCGAATAAGAGCTATCAAAGTGACGAAAAAATTTTATAGAATTATTTATTACAATGCGTGCTTTTATTTTCTGTATGTAAAATATACGAACGAAAGTTTTTTTTCTTTGACTTGCATTATGGTATTTGTTTAAAAAATTCTAATGTAACAAACCAAACCCTTCGGTTCTCCAGTCGGAATTTTTCTAGAAAAAAAAAGGAAAAAAATCCTCGGTAGGAAAAGTACTTGTATTATATACCATTTATACAAGTAACAGCCGGCCCTCTCTTAATATTATCCATCCATTATTCATCCTGGATCACAGTCGGAATCTTTCGAAATCGTATTCGCGAGTAAAGGCTATAAGAAACGTCCGATTCAAATTCAAATGCTCATAGATCCTGCTGTAGATCCACGACCATCCCGTGGTCCATTGTATTTATTGGCAGAATGCGCGTTCACGCGAGTCCACGCACGGCTTGTACTGACTGTTTCTATAAAATCTCGAATCGAAATTCCTTGAGAGAGATACCGGCGATAGTGAGCGACATTTTGTTTCTATCCGCTTCGACTGTTTTTATCGCCGCGAATAAAATTGTTTAATCAGCTTTATCAGTTCCAATATATTTTCGAAAGGAGAGTGAAACAGATTATTTTGTAAGTGAATTTTAATTCGTTTTGCATTGAGCGTCATGACAATCTTTCTGTTTTCCTTCCTAAATAAAATATATTATTTATGAACGAATTATTCTTTCTTCTGGTTAAACATCTTTCTTATGAAATAAATGGGAGATTAATTTTAAAATGTATTAGGATAGGGTTAGTCTTTAAAAATATAGAAAACTTATTTTAATTTTCCTTCAAAATTATTTTTATTATTTTTCATTCTTTGTTACTTTAATTTTAAGGGAACGTGGTAATGAGGGAAAATAACAAATTCCTTTTGTTTGGTAGTATATTTTATTTTTTCATTCTATATAAAACGAAATTAAACAAAAAAAGAAAATAAATTGAATTGGCAATAAAAAAATAAAATAAAAGTTGCACCTTAATGTTCTAATTAATAATCTTTCAAAACTTATTTCTAAACTTTTAACTATTCTTCATCGATTATCCTAAAAGTACAAAAACTTCTTCTTTGTGGAAAGGAGAAGTTTATGCACAAACTGAAAAAATATTAAATCGAAGAGAGAAAAGTGTATTTTAGAGCACGAAAGAGCGAAAGGGGATGATGGAGGCTCTCGGTATAAGGGTGGTCGCAAACAGAATGAGATGTTCTCACTCTCTCCATCTACCTATCGCTCTTTCTCTGTCTTTCTCGCGCAAGTATGCAAAAGTGTAGGGTTGAATTTCTATTCTTCAGCCATCTATCTTCTTTGAGACTGACAGATAGACGAAACTCGAGTGCCACTGACGTGGCAACCTTTACACGACTATGCAAACTATTGTGTTGGTGCACGCGCTCGCACCTGTACATAATATGCACATGCATGTATGTGTACGTAAATTTGTATATGCATATGCATATATACGTACATACGTGCATGTACGATGTAACGTTACAAAACAAGTGCATACATGCGAGAGACGTCAATTTTTTCATATCTATATAAAAAATTTATTACAACGAGACCATTCGGTCTCTTCTTATCAATTTCGTTTTTTTCTTATCGAAAAAAACGAAATCAGTTCTCTATATAAATGATTCTTAAGGCCTCTAGACACGCTGAAGCGTGCGGCGTCGACTTCTAGATTCATGAAACCCGCATTAAAGTGAATTTGTTTCATTCTGATTCATGGATACCGATTTGTATTCATCATGAAATCTGGAAATCGACGCATGCAATTAATTGAGCAAGTAAATCTTATATACTAAATAGAGATACAACTTTTTTTGTATTTTATTTTTTTATATTTTTTTTCTTTTTTTTTTTTCTTTCTTTGTAGAATATTAAAATAAAATTTAATGTTGACAAACACGAAATTGCATGACATTTTAAATATAGACTAAAACTATGAAATGTATGAAATCGATGCATGCAATTAATTTATAGAGATTTTGTAATCTTCAAAACTAAACTCGTCGACCGTAAAGTCGACGAGTTTAGTTTTGAAGATTACAAAATCTCTATAAAAAAAATATTCGAAATAGCAAGTAAATCTTATATACTAAATAGAGATAAAACTTTTTTTTTATTTTATTTTATTTTCTTTTTTTTTTTTTCTTTCTTCGTAGAAAATTAAAATAAAATTTAATGTTATGAAAATTAAAATAAAATAAAATGTAATAACAGACACGAAATTGCATGACATTTTAAATATAGACTAAATGTATTAGACTAAGATGAAATATTCTTGAGAATTCAGAACATTTCAACATTATTTTTTGTACATGAAATTTCGTTCTTAAAATTATTTCTCTTGTTGTTCGAAGAAAGAATATTTAGAAAAATTTTAATTTCTATATCAATGACTGACTTTATTAAAATAATTGCGTCAATTTGGAGTAATTAGTATCTTAAGATAATGTAGTTAATATTTACAAATCATTATAATTGTATCTTAATCTACAAAATATACTTTTTTTTTAAATTTTTATAAATTTTTTACATTTTTTTACATTTTTACAAATTTTTTAATCTTAAGAAAATGTGTTTATTTACAACTTAATTAACTCTAAATTACATTCTCCGTTATTTCGTTTTACTCGTGATTTACAATTAAGTGTTGCGTACTTAGCGCAGATCATTTTCTAACGAGTAAAAAGAAAAGACGCAATTTAATGTAGAAAAAAATTTCTATCTTGCACACGCTTTCAATGCTTGTCAGCCTCAGTCTCTTGTGCTATTGATAATTTTCAATAACGTATCACAGATAAAATTTTGATAATAACAATGTGCTGACTATTTCAAAGAAAACAGTGCAAAATGAAATTCTTTATAAAATTTACAAATTGGAACATTATAAGTTCTCAAGAAAAGAAAGTTCTAAAGAAACATTTGTCTCATTTGAGTTATGAGCTGCTTCTTCCAAAACTTTCAAATATTCATCATTAAAATCAGCAAGCATTTGTTCTGTATTGAACTCCATGTTAGAAGTAGTCGTTGCATAATACGACTCATTACACGTTCCTGAATTGTTTCCTTCGTATAAGCAAGAAGTGAAGGTGGCGGTCTCAGATGGCACCGCAGATGTTTGTGCGGTGAATGAAGCTGCTTCATTTGCCACTTGATTGTGACAAACTGCTTCATTTGCCACTTGTTGTTGTAAACATTGATTTCCAACCTGCTGAATACGTTGGCTTACTGGCTCCAACTGACTTGGTTGAAATTGCACCAAGTTCTGAGTTGGTGGCTCGTACATTTGGGCCATAGGCAAATAGGCTTGATACATGCAGGATGACATTGCCTGCGTATTCTCTTGTGGATTAATCTGATAATTTGTACTTGGATTCGAACTAACATTTTGTTGTTCTGAATTTTGTGTTATTTGGTTTCTATAATTTTCTGTTCTAGGAATACTTCCAATATACGTCGGGTTGGTCAAATTAGATTGTTGTTTTTTCATTTTCATCCGTCTATTTTGGAACCAAATTTTTACTTGCCGCTCCGTTAGCGAAAGTGTATTTGCTAACTGGATTCTGCTAGATCTGCATAAATATGGAGTTTTTGAAAATTGCTTCTCCAATTCCATCAATTGTACACTTGTATAGGCTGTACGAGTTCTTTTGCCAGTTGTTTTCGCTTTACCTAAAAATCAAAATTCATTCTCTATTTAGTAAATTCGTAATGTATATTTAGTAATACGTCTAAATTATTAAAATTCATGACCAGAGAAATAAGATTTTCAGAATTTTTCTCAGAAGGAGCAAGGTTTTGTCTAGTAGAAATATTACTTTCCCAGACAAAAATTCTCATTCAGATTTCACTTAAAACTTTCAAGGTTTCTTTAAACTTTTTATTAATTTGTTGTTAATTTTAAATTTATCTTCAAGACGGGAAAAGCGTTAGTTTTGCTTGCAAATAAATTTAGGATTTAGGACTTCTTTTCAGAACTTATTCCTTTAGTACCATAGGAAAATTATCCCTTTAATACCATAGGAAAATTATTCTTTCTTGTGAGAAAGCAATATTTGGAAAGAACATTAAGAGAAAATTAAGCTGAAAACGATTTCAGTTAAGGAAAACCTGATGTTTACTGTTCAAAGACTGGAAATTTAATCTGATTTCAAAAATATACATAAACCGAAAGGAAACCTCTACCTAAATGATCGTTAGTGAGGTACAAAAATATTTGGCCAACAACTTAGGGTTTATGCGCGCACGAGCTCCTTGTGTCCCCACTTTCCTGATCGGATGCAAGCCTTCATCCCTACTCTTTCGTTCGCGCACGGGCCCCTCAACCCCCTCCACTATCGCCAGTTAGCAGCGTCTGACTTAACGCACGTTTGCAACAACCGATTGTATGATGAAAATGATAGAAGATATAATGAATATCTTAAAGTTTAGAAATGGAACTACTCCAAAAATTACTATTTTCCTTCTAGTCTGTGATTATCTTATAATCTTATAATTTTGAATCATTTAAAACTTTTTCATTTTACTATCGAACACTTTGTTAATTCTTAACTGGTATCGCTGAACATTCTATCCTATCGCTGAATTATGAAGCGTAATTTTCGAGAGACAGATGTAAAGTGTAGGGATAGGAATTTCTACGCGATTGAACACGTGTCTACGTTTTTTTTTTCCATTTACCTATTGATAAATCAACAATCTATTGTGACACGCGATGCGAACTGCGTTATTTCTTAAGTATTTTGGGGCATATCGATGCCCCGAGGGAAAGAAGAAACGTTCGAGGAAACGTTATCGAGGTAACGTCGAAGATGGAGAGCCCGATTTTCACATTTTGATCGAACTACGGAGACAGAATATATGACGAATGACTGTGGAACTCGTGACGAAAGCGAAAATGATAAGCGCTTTATCCATCGACCCCGTTGATAAGCCGTTAATTTCATTAAAATTCTAGAAACGAAGAAGATTTAGAAAGTATTTTAGAAAACTTATCCTCCCGTTGGACGTTTAACTTTCGCTGCACAGACTTTTTGGAATCGAGGAAAAGTTTTTGAAATGAGAAATTCGCGAAATGCGAAATTTTCAATGAAGAAGAATTTTCTTTCTCCCTGTCTATCATACGATGATACTGAGACGATCGAGCGTGTATTTCATAACCAATAAACGTGTCACCACTGACCCAAGGATAACAGTCTATCATCTGGTGACTCTGTTTTATATAAACCTATGTAGAGCATCGACGAGCAAGCGGGACGAGAGCGCCGTTTTATAATCCCTCGAGACTAAAGTCTCCTAAATGAGCAGCTCGTTAATCAAACTTGATTCAATAATGTCTACGGGAACGTCTATTTGCCTAGAATCCGCGACGACGGCGAACTTTCTTGTTTAACGTTACTGTGTAATTTTAGCTATCAAATGAAAACGTTCGCGTGTCCTTTTTTTCCTTAATAATGGGCTAATTCCTAATTAATTCCGCCATATATAAATGATGAAACTCTATTATTAGATGAGCAGTTCATCAGATGAGCACTAGTATTTTATTTAAAAAGAATAAATAAGATTCAAACGTTTCTAAAAACATTTTAATGTTTGTTTCGTGAAACTAGATCCAGAATGTTCTTGTTATAGTTGAACGACAAAAATTCATTTACAAATTAATTAACATTTCTTTGTCTAATGTTTCTTTGTTTAATGTTCAGTAAAATGGCGAAAGCGAAAGTCGTACGGCGAGTTTCAAGAGAGCAAAATGGTAGATTCTCAGCCGAGAGAAAAAGTTTTTCAACGTTTTTAGAAAATCCTAATAAGTTGTTATTACTCTATCCTTTAACAATCTATTAATTTCCCGGTAATTTATTAATCAAGATATTAAAATATCTTTAAAAATTCAACAAAACGTTATTCTCGCTTCTCAAATCGTTATATTAATTTCAATTTATAACAATACCGAATAAAAATAATTTTATATCCGAAATTAGATTTGAATAAATAAAGATATAAAAAAATACGATACCTTCAGCAGGTGACCGCTTTCTCGTTGTGACAGACTCGTTTGTCTGTTCAGACGTGGTGCTAGTACCCGCTGGGGGTCCATTTCTTTGCATCAAGTTTCCCGGATTCGGTAAACTTCTTCTTAATAGATCGTGTTGAGATCCATAATTAGGACATTGTTGAAGTCCATTTCTATTATTTTCCGGCGATAAACTCGCCGGTGATAGAGGCAGAGTGTGAATGTAATAAGATTGTGGGTATAAATGAGGAATTGCATCCACTATGTTGCTTGTTATATTTATGTCCAACATTTTTGTTTGATTAATTTGATATTGTATTTAATAATACTGTTTTATTAATTTGATATATCACTTATATTAATATTGTTTATTTATTTGATATATCACTTATATATCACTAAGTATGTCTATCACTTAGTGTTTCACCTCTATCACTTATATATCACTAAGTGTTTCACCTCTATCACTTATATATCACTACGTGTTTCACCTCTATCACTTATATATCACTACGTGTTTCACCTCTATCACTTATATATCACTAAGTGTTTCACCTCTAACTTTAATAGTTCACTCCGGTATGCTTGATGTCTAAGAACTGAGTGAAGACTGGCCGTAGTACTCGTAACCATTTTTGGTTTCGATGGGTGTGACCTACTCCTAGCGAAAGTAGTCCCTCCGAAAAATTTGCAAATCCTATTCGTCACTGATGACGTCTTTTTCATTTTCCTCCCTCCACCTTGTCTTACTCTTGTCTTTGGTCGAATACTCATGAATACTTACTACAGCTGGTAAAAAAAAAATACATATTTAATTGGCATTTTATGATTTATTTTTACAATAAACGCAACATAAAAAAGATAAAGCAACATAAAAAACAGAGGGTTGTTATTTAACTTCACTAACTTCTTTTCTTCATTCCTCACTGAAAGGCAATATTTCTCCGTTTGTTTCGTTCACAGTTATTAATTTTTATAAAAATTTCATGAAAATTTAAACAATTGCTCGTTTATGATTATTTTAAATATTGCATCACAAAGATATTATAAGTTCATATTGTATTTAATCGATACAGTATAAATTGCTCGGCCGGTGATCTGATCGTAATGGAAACTAACCGTAATGGCTTCATTACATATGCGTAGCTTTATCGCGTTCAAAAGCTTTGGAATAATTGATCGTTGGAATCTTGTTCTATTTTCTTCGATTTTCAGAGTTTTCGAATATTAATACGATTTTTAGTTGAATTTAGTTTATTTTAATTTTAATTTATTTTAATTTTAATTTATTTTAATTTATGTTAATTTTTAGTTTATTTTAGTTGAATTTATTCGCGCATTGATGCTATAATTTAATTCGATCTCGTTATACAGAGGTCTGATTAAACAATGATGATTATAATTATTTATCATTAATGATTGGAAATTTAGAATTAAAAGTGTTTTAATAACAGAGACATTCTGAAACAAAAACATTCCTGGAAGAAACAACATTAAATATTCGGCTTTATAATAATCTACCAAATATATTCATACCATACTCGTACGAGCAATGAAATAATAAACAACGTAGATAGATAATTGCTAATCGTAATCAAATTGAGCTAATCTATCGTACAATTTCTCTGATTCTCTTCGAAGCCTATTCTATAATTCTTTTTTTATAAATCTTGATAGTCAGGATCATTTCATTCAGAGTATCATTTCTTATTATCCAACAGCAAATTTTTGAATATTTACAGGAAATACCAATAATAAATTGCATAGCATGTACAGGGTAAAAGAAACATTTGTTCCTGACTATCATAGATCAAGTCTACACCTTCAATTTGATGGAAATATATGTAAAGAGCTGCAAAATTAACTTTAACCTTCATTGAATTTGAAGGTCAAAAAAAATTTTTTTTTTGCATTGTATTCTACCCATCACGAAGATAAAACTTTTCCAAGAAACTATAGATCGCAATCTAATAATTCTTTTGAAAAATGGCAAAAAAGTCTCTTAATCATTGCGGGTGCGTACGTGCTTATATTTCGGGTGCGTACGTGCTTATATTTCGGGTGCGTACGTGCTTATATTTCGAATAATTAGTTTTATCATTTGATTATTTAGATTTACAGTGATGCTACAATTATGATAAATGAAATGTTAGTGAAATTTAACACGGAAATTACATAAAATAAATATCCGATTAATTTATAAATTACATAAAATAAAAATCCGATAAATTTCCGCTTCCGGAATCATAAAGTCGCTGTTAGCATGCACGTTTCCGCAGTGTTAAACTATTAGACTTATATTTTACTTTACATTTTATTTTACATTCTCTTTTCTCTCTATTTGCCAAAATAGCTTTTAAGGCAATATGAATATTTTAATCTTTAAAAATTACTCTCAAATGATCAATTCAAGCGAAACTGCTTCTGTACAAGATATATTTATCTATAAGACGATTAAAATATAGTAGATAATATTAAAAAATTATAGTAGCCAATGGTTGTTCTTTATCCAAAATGTTGAAAAACACCTTACTCTACCATGACTAGGACTTTTGGACTACGATCAGTCCAAAATCGATATAAAAAATCTGCCTATAGAATTACCAGAGTAACAGGTTTAAGAAAACTGATTTTTTTTTTTAATGAATAATGACTGGAGAATATATATTGGACGATAGTATGCGTGGAAGTTCTAAACCATAGTTGCAAAATTCAAGAAATTTCCTTATCGTTTAAAGGCGCATCGCCATTGCCGTCCCACCTCAGAGCCAGAAAGAAGACATCACTGTAATCCCTCCTTCTCACTTGTCTTCTGTAGTAGTCGTTGCTACTGATTGTTCCTGTAACTTATGGCATTTTAAATTCCCTCCTAGATTTATGTGTTGATTGTAAAGCGATTTCGCCAACCGATTTTTAAAACGTTGGCTAAACATTGAGCTCCGTAACCGTGCTTCACCTTGTTCTAACAATCAGATCGGCTTTCTTCTATTTTATAAAATCATTGGGTTGATTTAACGATGCATTTAGACCGAATAAACGGACGCTAAATCTGTCCCTTACATTCGTAGAATTTGTTTGCGATCTAAATGGACCATAAGAAAAAAATTCTATGGATAATTCTGCAAATTGCTGTATAATTCTATTGTTGAATGGAAGAAGGATAGAAATATTCAGGCCCTTTTTAAATAAAGGAATTCCACGAAGCAAAATTGCAAAATTTTATGCAATTGAAAGCAATTGAAAGAATTAAGTCTTTCACTTGTTTGCTACTACTTGACGAAAAGTAAAACGGAGAATACCTTTCCTATGTTTAAACCTGCAACTGTGATCGTTATCGAACTTTGTTTTCGCTAGATAATCTTTGTGCACAGGAATTCACGAAATAGTAGATGAACCGATACCAAGTAGCATTTTACGATACTGACAATAGAAGAATGTCCCGTCTCGAGTATGTAACTAACAAACATAAAAGTGCAACGTGTACGTAAAGATTTTTTATAAAATACACGGATGTAAGTTTGACCTTCCTCTTGCATATATTTGTCCGCAGAATTTTTTAATCATTCTGATTGCTAATATTCCTAATATGTATTACTGCTCAGATTTCGACAAAATAGTTATTTAAATTGTTAATATAATTCTATCGTTCTGATTGCCAGTAATCTAGTCTCAATGCTCTAATATTTAAATTTAGAATAATTGGCATTTTGCACTTGACTCGCTAGTAATTCTAGTATCTAATTATATATGTAATATATGTAATTATATATGTAATATATGTATTATATATGTAATGTATGTAGAAGAGAAATATTTGAAAATCAGAAGAATTTTCTCTTAAAAAGTTGCTCAGCTTGCAATTGAAAAATAATAAAATCTGCAGTAAATACGGTCCTCGAATATTTAATCAGCGGTCCAATAACAGATTGGTCCAAATGACATTGAATATTCTCGTAAGGCGAATTCGAGACCGACGAGCCTCTGCTTTTGTATAATGTAACCTAAAAGTTTAATAAGATCTGATGGTGGATTGCGTTAAATTCGAGATCAGTAGAGGCATAAAAAACAAGGATACGGGGATGAAAAAAATGAGCCAGAGTTACAGATAGTAGCTAATGATTTATTAATATAGGAAAGTAATAATGTGATTATTTACATATATATTAATAATGGAACTATTTTTGTATATATTAATAAATATATATTTTACCTTTTTTATATATATCAATAAATATATATTTTACATTATTTATATATATTAATAAATATATATTTTACATTATTTATATATATCAATAAATATATATTTTACATTATTTATATATATTAATAAATATATATTTTACATTAATAATGACAACTAAGTTAGCGTCGGCTTTGTTTCATCCTTATTTCTAGCACTAGAAAAATGCCATTTTGTTGCATTTATTTTGTGTTAGACATCTCGTATCGGTTAAGTGTACAACTAGTATGTATGTGATATGCGTGTATATGTATGTATTATTTATATAAGCAGCTCGAACGTATTGTCATCGTTCATCTTTGTAATAAGAGTCCGCTGAGTAAAATACTGCGCTACGCGCTCCAACATTTTATTGTGACTCTGAAAAAAATTAAACAGCAATCATCAATAGATATTTCTATCTACAAGAGAGTGGAATAAAATTAAAATATTCTTAAAGTATTCTTTTTATCAATTTAAGTTTATGCAACGAAGTATTTTTTCTAAGATATACAGTTTCATGAATATATCTGTACATATTTTGCTGTCTCTTAAAGGAGACCATTTTCGCAGACGTTACATTATTTCGTTAGATAATTCATTGCATTGGTTTGACGATTGCTTGTATTAACGAATATTACTAAAGTTTATTTTATGAGAATTCTTATTTTATAACAACATTTCCCGAAAGTTTTCCTTGCATGTTCTAATTTACATACGCGATTAAATTGTACAACATTGCAAACGTTCATAGAATAACAAAATAAAGTAAGAGCAATAAAATAAGTAAGCTGTAACAGTCTTTACAAAAAAGTGCAGCTCGTTACATACACCTGGAATTATTTTCATCGCATGTCAGAAAAATTCGTTTCGTGGGGAGGTAGAATGCGACTTTCTCGAAAGGTCTGCTTAGTCATAGCTTGCAACCACCTCAGCCCCCGCTCCCTTTCTCTGCGCTTGGCTCGCCGTGTAACATATGCTTTTATCTAAATTAAACAGTGTCGGCGCGATTTTCATTTCCTGGCCTGAAGCCGCTGATGTTATCCGCCAGGATAGCGCGTCGCGAGAGC